TGGATGGAGGGGTGGGTGGATGGAGGGGTGGGTGGATGGAGGGGTGGGTGGATGGAGGGGTGGGTGGATGGAGGGGTGGGTGGATGGAGGGGTGTAGGGAGGGTGGGGCAAAGTCCAGAGGGGAGCTGGTGAGTGGACTCCTGTCCAGGATGTGAGTGTGGGGTGGGAGAGGCATGAGGAGGGACCAGAATGACCTCCCGAGGAACCACGTTTTGTTGTGCAGCGGTGTCCTCGAGTCACGTTTAAGGTGTGCAGGGGGAGTGGGCTGCTCCAGGATTTCCCTATTTCCTGCCTCCGATGTTTATGGCTCTTTCCTTCTTCCCTTTCAGCTAGTGGAGCATTACTCTTACAAACCAGATGGGCTATTAAGAGTTCTTACAGTTCCATGCCAGAAGATTGGCGGGCAGACAGGTGAGTTCCTGACCTTAGAGCCTCTGTCTCTGGGATCGTGACAGTAATCAGCCTGGCTTCACAGTCGGCCTGTCCCAGATCCGGGTGGGATGAGGGCTTGTTTTTACTGGTTGATGAAAGATGATGTCGGGTCATTCCAGTTAATCACACTGTAGCTGGTAGCTTTAACTGGAGAAAGCGGGTTAGTTCTAATTGCCCGGGTGAGGACGCTGAGTGGAGGAGAAGGAGAAACTGCTTCTCTGGCAGGCTAACGGTCCAGCTGAGTGATCTGCACCCGGGGAGGGGGCTGCTGGGTGTCGGGGATTTAGCCATGACGGTCCATGCTCTTTCCACCCAGGAAACATCAACTTTGGAGCCCGCGCGCCCCTCCCAGGGGGCCATCCTGCGGTAAGTTACGAGGGCTGGGCGGGCGGTGGAGCAGCTGCATGCTAGAGCCAGGAAACCATGGGTTAGCGCACAGCATAGCCATGATTGTTGTTCCTGCCGCCCTTGATGACCTGGGGCCGGGGAGCGTCAGCTAGAATCAGCCTACTTTCAGTTCCAGGCCAGCTGAGTTCATTTCTTCATAGGTTAGACAGGGACACCCGGTGTTAAATCAGAAATACGCCTCCTGGTGGCTTTGGGAAATGATGTGCAGGATCCAGGAGACCGTGCACATGGCCCCTGGAGTGAGTCAGCTGTGCGTGATGTCCCACTGAGCGTGTCCGCCTGGCTCTTTTGGTTAGATCATCATTAACAGAGGCATTGACCTTTCTGGAGAGTGGGTTTGACGGTAGCTTAGCGGAGGAGGCTTGGTTGGGGGTGGGATGCCCAGCAGCAGCAGATGAGAGAAGCCCTAGAGAAGGCCAGAACGCACCTCTCTCTCTGCCTCAATGGGAGGTGAGAATGTGACCTGCCCCCCTGTCTCCGTGGGGGTTTGCCCAACACACGCCCCCCTCCCCCCCACCCCAAGCCGACACACAGATTTATACTCAGAGGAGGAGTTGGGTCCTGCTCTTTTTTGGGGACCTCGATGTGGACCTTTGGTGTCAAAATTTTTTTAATGCCATCTGTAAAGTATAAAAATCCCCCTATCATGAGCTGTGTGCTCCACGTCTCCCTATTTGCCTATTAACCCTTAAAGAACAGAATCAGCAGAAATCGGAAGGTCCATTCTGCCCACAATAAGGATGGTTGACCGCTCACAAGCCGCACCCACATTGAAGCAGGGAACCTCTCCGGGGGCAGCACCTGTCACCAGATGCGGGGGCGGGGGGGGCAGAATTGGAATTTGCTAAAATACCAGTGAACTTCTGCATCAACGTCTAAAATAGAGCCCCTGTATGGAATCGTCATTTTATTTTACCCTTCATGTGGCTCCTGGGCCTGGCACATCCAGATGCTCCATGCTCCATCTACCATACGTCACGGTAGATGCTCCATGAGACAGATTGATCTCCCTCCCACATGGGTGAGGGCTGAGGGCTAAGAACTGTTACAAGAATATGAAGCCCTAGATGCAGCCGTGTATCACCCAGTCGCTTCAAGAAGTTAGATATTTTGGAAAATCTTTTTATTGACTATCTCAGTGCATACAGAAAAAAACACACATGCCCTACGTGTCCAAATCAGTGAATTTCCACAAACCATGGAACCAGCCCCCCAGAGAAGTAACAAAATTGGGCACAGTCACACTTACTTCTAGTTTCTTTAGAATGATTTGTCGTGTTTGTGATTTAGTAACCTGTATGAGACGGGGGCTACTTAATGTGACAGCCCTAATTCTATAGCTTTCCATGGAAAATATTAACCAAAGTATTTTTCCAGATCCTTCTGCTCAGGTGGCAGGCTTATCCTGAAGCATCCCTAATGACCAAGTGTGGCCGGCAGCAAATCTCTGCAGCAGAGTGTGGAGGGGGTTGGCAGTTAATCACAAAGTGATATCACAAAATGAAATAGCATGTCATGTGTTTGCTTTCTGAGATACTGACTCTTCCTTCTTTGCCGTTATGGTTTCTAGATGTGGTCAGCGGGTGGAATAATCTCCAGAATCAAATCATACTCCTTCCCAAAGCCGGGCCACAGAAAGGTGCTAATGCGTCCCCCGCTTGCTGTCCCCCTGCCTATGTGGTAGGACTGACCCGCACGCGGTGCCCGCGCTCCGGCCCCGGCTGCCCTCCGTGCGCGCTCCCCGCCCCGTCCAGCCGCTGTGCTCTCGCGCCTGCCGTGTGTGGCCCCAGGTGGGCAGCCTGTGCCCAGTGCTCGCCGCGCTTTCCGTGTGGGTCCTGGTCCCTGCCACCCGGTCCGCCCCCGCCAGCGTACTCTCCCTGCTCAGTGTGCGCTTGAACGTCCCAGGGTCGGCGCGGGAGGTGGGAGCCTCGTGTCGGAGAACCTTCTCCGAGCAAGCCAAGTGATCTGTTGTCAAAATCACAAGTTGCAGAGCCAGGGGGTCGATTATATAAAGTACGTGCTGTTGGAAAGGGTGCCAGGGTTTTGTGGGGGCTGCACAGGGAGCGTCTCAGGCTGTTTATTGCGTGGATGCCAAGGGCCATGACACCTGCATCGAGGCTGTAGATTTCCAACACGGAACTTGACTATAACAAGTAAAAAGACAAGCATGGAATTGGAGGATTAGAAGCGCCCTGTTTCTTTACGAGGCAGTTCAGGTTGACCTGGGATTCGTTTCTGTATTTGGCTGTGTGATTGAATTGTGAGGGAAAAAGCGAAGTTTTTTTAATGATTTATAATGAATCATCTCCATATATATATATATATATATATATATATATATATGTATGTATACCTGTATATATATACGTGTATATATGTATATATGTATACACGTATATATATGTATATATATAATATGTATGGGTTACTATTTTTTCCTTTGTACTTTCTCCATTGGTGGTAGAAAGTGGATTCTTTTGTTAATAATTCTTTCCATTTTCTTACCAATTAGTATTTTTTTCCAACATTTCAATCATACAGTTGGGCATCAACTGATGAAGCAAGTTGCCGAAAGTACTTGCTAGGAACAACAGAAAGAAAAAGCATAAGATCCCCAAGATTTTATTTAGGAAGAATTTTCCAGGTGGGCAGTCATACTGTGGGTGCTCCCAGTCTTGTTGTTGAGAGATCAGAGAAGAGAGTTGAATGTGATGGTCGAGGGGCAAGTTGTCTGACGAACGGAGCGGCTGTCTGTCTGAATGTCACGTGGCCAGGCAGTGTGGACCAGCTCGTGGAACCTCAGCTAGAATGTGGCAGTGCTTTGGGGGAACTGCAGTCAGGGCCACCCGCGCCAGGGTGGGCGTGTTAGGAATCGGGGACCAGGTTGTCAAGGTGACACATTCTCTGTGTCCGGTGCCCCTTTGTCCCACCCTTGGTGTTTGCTTGAAGCCACCAGGCCCAGTAGGTGATTGAGGCTGTAGACCAGAAGAGGTAAACATCTGCCATGCTCCAAGGTAAAACCCTCCGGCTGCCCCCTTCCGGCCCATGTGGCCCAGGACCCCTGTCGGCTTGCGCCCCTTCTCTTGGGAGAGGGCTCCGCGTGGCCGCCCGGATGGCATCTAACAGGCAGGAAGTAGCCTTCTGATTCAGGGTGCATTTTAATCAAGAATCATCTTTTCGAGGTTGTAATTATAAATTTAGTTCAAATTAGTGACTTCGGTACCACGGTCTGGCGGTCAAACACAAGATGCAAGAGTGTTTAATCGAATGTTGCATCGACAGTGCTTCGTAGAACAGCTCAGGGCAGGACACATGGCCTCCACAGTGCCTGGAACCCCTTACTTCACTGGCTTCCGTGGCCCCTCCATGTTCAGGGCCTGCGTGGCAGCTGTGGAAGTAGCCCTGTGGACGTGGGTCACACCACCGGTTGCCACCACTTGTCTATTCATTATTCCCTTTATGATGTGCCGACACACAGCCCCCTATCCAGGTGCGGTCCCAGAGATGGGCGGTCACACTGTGCACGGACCACATGCCATGCGTGTCTTAGCTCTGTGGCTCTGAGTGCAGCATTCAGGGACCCTTCACGGGAGCATGACCACTTAGAGATTTGTGTGTAAAACAGATACACACAATCACGTATCTAGGTACATATATGCCACACATACACATTTATATACACACACATCTTAACATGCATGCACCCCCACACACATATACGGGTTTATCACAAGGACTTGCCTTACAGAATGATAGGGGCTGACTAAGCAAATCCCATACCTGTAGGGCAGACCGTCAGGAAGGGTAGATCAGGAGCAGGGTGGAACCCCTCGGGCATGGTTGAAGTTGTCGTCCACAGCCAGGGGTCAATACGCCCTCCACCTTTCTCTGTTTCTCTCTCAGGAAAGCTGCAGCTCTCCCCAGAGGACTCTCAACTGATTAAGCCAGGCCCACCCAGCGTAATCTCCCTAATTTAAATCAGCTAATTAGGGATTTTAGTTATATCTGCAGAATCCCTCCATGGCAGTAGCAAAATGACAATTTGATTCGATCATGGAGGACTAGAGCTCAGACTAACCACGTGGACACATCAAAAAGCCAGGAAACAGTAACCCAGCCTAGTGAGGAGACAAGACTCACTACCACCCCGTCGCTGTCCCAGGCAGGCTGAAGCAGGCTCACGTCACTTGCAGTAACTAAGGAAATACACAGAAAAGATGCAATAGATCTTTGTATTAAAGGAGAGCATGTCTCTTTCTTACACTATCAATATATCAGTAAAACTACCTAAAATATCAGTAAGACTACCTAAAAATAAAGAACTATCATCAAAGGAAATAACAAACTGGGAATAACTATTGGTCCTGATGCTACACATGCAAGGTTAAGATCTTTAATATATAAAGAAATTCTATTAAGTCTGTAAAAGTTTTAACTAACAGGCAAATGGCAGAGGATGTCATTAGGTAGTTTGTAGTAAAGCAGATACAAATAGGAGAAACGTAGGAAAACATAAAAATAGGAAGAGCTGCTCCATTCCATAATAAGAGAGATGCAAGTGAAAACTAGGTGCGCTGTTATGTCCACCTGTGAAGTGGACCCAAGTAAAAAGCAACAGGATGTGCAGCAAGGGTGTGGTGAGTAAGTCCTCCCACGCTTTGCTGGAGAAGTGTGAGATGATGCAGCCTCGGAAGAAGGCAAGTTCACAGCATCCATCCAAAGTAAACTTCTCAACTGCAATTTCGTTTCTAGGTATGTATTATTCTTGCATTTGTGTGTAACCATGTGTCCATGAAAAGTGTTTATTCCAGCACTGTGTAACTGACAAGGTCTGGAAACAAACTAAAAGTCTGTCATTGGGAAATAAACTAGTTACAATTAAAATTCATACCGTGAGAGGCAGCTGAGATCTAGAATTATTTCCAAATTCCAGTGTTAATTACAAACAACTGATATGTGCTGATAGAATGTCAAATATTCTGGAAGAAATACTGAAACACAGTGGTAACGGTAGTGACCGCGAGAGCACGAAATAGGGGTGTCAAGGAGACTTACACTCTACCGTAAACCCCCTTGTGCCTTTGTAAATTCTTACCTCTCGAATTTAATCAATTTTTAAAAAGAGAATTGAATATTAGAAAGTAGTGAATCTGATTGATACTGTGAAAATACTTTTCTGGAAAAAAAAGGCTGTTGCCTATTTAAATTTATAAAAACTTTGAAATATGCATTGAATTTTCCTAGATGCCAAAAAAATTAATAAAGAAGGATTGTGTGATTTAAGTTATGGATTAAATGTATTTTAATTGCTCATCAGAAATATTTTAGGAGAGCTGGTGTTTATATCTTTGCAAATAGAGGAGGAATTTTCTATTAATTAAACAGTCATGAGAAAGCACTTACAGGGATTATGTCAGATATCCCCTCTGTTTAGATAAGGTGCAAATGACTTTCTTGAGTTTGTTAATTTGATCAGTATACGTAGTTGTTTTTAATAATTCAGGCCCAAAGAGGACATGTCAGAACTTGAATTAATTCTAGCGTGTGGGTAGTCACCGAAAAGTTATGTTTTGACTTGAAGAGGACTGTTAATTAGATATTAGAGATTTCCTAATAAAAACTTAAGGACAGGTCTATTTTAAATTTTTTCCTTAGAAACTGGGAATACTTTCGTCCTTAAAAATACAGGTGAAGTCAAGTAACCAATGTAAATAATGATCCACCCTCTTCCCTGCCCTCCATAATAAAAACTTAAGGAGCGGGTCTATTTTAAAGTTTTCCTTCGATGTTAGTCCTTAAAAATATAAATGAAATTAACTAACAGGTGTCTGTGGGATTCACCCTCTCCCCTCCCCACATCCTTAAATGAAGTCCCTCCCACTTCTAGAACGGGAGCATCTGTCTTGCTCCTTTAAGTACAGAAACCTTTGCTTCATGTGAGTAAGAGCGTCTTCATAGGAGCGTCCACCTCCTGTTTCAGAGGCATGCTCCCTAAAACGCGACACAGCATTCACCTGTAGCTCCGTGGTCGAAATGTGTTCCAGAATTTCAAATTCAGACCCATTTCTCCTGCTGTATTCCAACACCTGCACTGATGATTGGATTATTTGAAGGCTTGTATGTAAATACGCAGTTGGCTAGAGTTGAGCTGGAAGAGCAAAAGAAGAAGAGTTGTGAAGTCACACCGTCAGGCAGTAACGGCGAGGCACTGGGGACAGACCCTGGAGAAAACGTGTTGCCGTGTCATTGTCAGGGGCCACGCTGCCGCCCTCTGCTCCTTAGGTCAGGACGATTGATGTTGGACGTCAGCTGTTGGTTTGCATGGACCGGAAGCAGACGTGGTCTCATTCCGTGCCCTGGCCGGGGAGGGTCTGCCCTGGGCTGTGGGGTCTTGTTCCCCCTTGGGACCACAGCCGCTCTTGCAGACCGGAGCCGTGCCCAAAATGGCAGCCCGCGTTCTGAAGCCTGCAGGCTCTCTCTGTCACTGCGGCTGTGACACCTATGTGGTCCTCTTTACTGCTGCTCTGCCTGATTGGGAAAGGTCTGTCCAAAAGCCTAAAAGCAAAGGTCTAGAAATGGATGTTAGGACACAGCATGATGCTCCCAGATCACCAGGAGAACAGTACATGTGTACCTCGTTCACTTCTGCATCCCCACTTAATAAGCACCCAACGGAGAGCTGTCGAACACATTTCAGTTTGCAGTTAAGGCTGGCCAGTAAGAGATCAGGGATCATAATTTAAGACCTAATTTGGTCTTATCTTTAATTACTGTGGAGTGACCTGTTTTTACCTCAATTTACAAAACTTAACAATCACCCCTTGTTCTTTGGGAGGGAGAGCGCGAAGGTCGCTAGTGCCATCTAGTGGTGGCCCACAGGTTTGAAAAGCCGCAAAAATGGGAGGAAAAAATGCACCTGCTCGCATTCCATTGACACCTTATGCTCTGTGCGGAAAAGGTGATGGTATTGATTGGGGTAGAATAAATCATCAAATATAAAGCAGAAAGAATAATGACAGGTGACAGAATAGGCCAGTGATGTGTTTTTCATTAAATTTTAACGCTAATCAGTACATTTATAATTTAGCATCATTCTTTACAAAGTCTTCGAATTCTTTCCAGCTGAGCATTCGATCCCAGAGGGTGTTTGGTGTCGTTCTACTCAGTGGCACATCCACCAAACACTTTAGGAAAGATGGAATTGTGTTTTGTACCTTTACCTTCATCATGACATCACCACCACCCTGTTAACTGACGCACCAGAAAATCTCCCATTTCTCCCGAAGAACATTCTCCCGAGTGTTGTGCCAGCTTCTCTCCCAGTGGGGTAACCCAGGGGCCTGGGTAGGGAGCGGATGTGGTTACTGAGGGACTCGCGGGGCCCCGGCTAGGCTGGGAAGGCTCTTAAGGGCATGGGGTCTGTGTGACCTTCAGAGGGAGACCCCAGCCCGTTTCCTAATGCGTCGCCAAGGCCGACGGGGGGTGAGCACCACACTGCCCGTCAGAGTCTGCTCTGCTCTTTCCAGGGCTTTAGGCTCAGTGTGTCCAGCACCACCAGCGCTCACTCACTCTTGTCACTCATTTGTACACTCCCACCTCTGCTTTAGAAGTCTTCCCCACAGGCTTCCGATGGCAGGTCATTGCATTCTGGCTTGATCTGTGAAGGCCTGGGGCTCGGGAGAGCATTCGCTCAGGCCGGAGCAGTAGTGGCCCCGGGATAGCCGGTCCTCGGTGGGCAGAGGGCAGGTTTCAGGGCCAGGAGCAGGGGTCCTGGTGTCTCTCCTTGTCTGTGACAGGCGGTCCTGGCGTCTTGAAGTCAGTCGTGTCTTTGGATCTCAGAGTTTCCTGCCTACAGGGAAAATCAGAGATGTTGAAATGATTGTATATATGAACCTAAAAGAGGCTTTTTTTTTTTTAATTGAATACTATTTCCACCTTGGAGTTTGATTGCAGCTGAGCAGAGGGTTGATGGGAGGCCTTGGGGATTCCCAGTCTCTCCGAGGATAGTTCTATCGAGACAGGGCAATTATCTTCTAAATGAGAAGTGGACTCCCAGGACATCCAACCGTCCTGTAATCACAGGCCAGTTTTTAAAAGAGGTGGTGGATCGTCATTTGGGATTATCCACGCCTATTTCCCTCCGTTAGGGTATTTCATTTCTAAACCACACTGACTTACACTTCCCATCTCCCAGTTTTAAGACACTGTTCCCATTCATTCATTCATTCATTCACTCGTTGGTGTGTGTTTGGTACATTTTTTTTTTTTTTTTGGAGCTCCAGTGGCGGCGGACAAGGCAACATTCAGACGCAGTGAGGGGCCTTACGCTGTTTTTACTCGTGATACGTCCCAGCCCCTCCTGTGGAGCGTGGTAGGAACGCGATGGGAACGCCGAGAGAGGCGGAGAACGTGGAGCGAGCACCCTCCGCTGACACGGGAGAGCCGGCGTCCCGTAGCCTGGTCCCTTGGGCCTTTGTGCTGTGGGCAGCAGCTTGGTGGCGCTTGGCAGATGCCGTGAAGAAGGAGGTCCAGGTTTTGGAGACAGGTTGTGGCCGTGGTGCCTTGTGACTCCACTATTGTCCTTCTGGCTCCCGGGCCTGGGACGTCAGGCAGGCAGAGGAGGACCCCGTGTGTGCTGCGAGATACGTCACCGTGCACAGTGAAGCTTGATGTCTCTGTGTCTTTACATTTCTCCAAACCCTGGCAGTATCTCATGTCTTCGTGGCCAGTGTTTGGGCCCTGCTAAGGTAAACGGCTAGATGACCCTCCTAGTCAACTACACCAAAAAACAAACAAACAAAAAGATTTGAATAGTGATTTTTTTTCCCCCCACAAACCAAATGTACTAGCAATACCCTTGTGTTAAAAGGAGGGGGCAAAGGCGGGCCAGGAAGACTCAAGATAGAGATTTTCAAAAGGGGAAGGTTATAGGGATGTAAGGAGGAGATCCTTCCCCCACCCCGTTAATTCATCATGCAAATTAATGTAAATCAGATCTAGCACCAGGAAGGTTGCTGCCCTCCGGCATCCTATCCCGTAGCTACATCTCCGTGGAAGGTCAAGTTCAGGCAGAAACCAGGACTGCATAGACCCTGTGGAGTCAGGGAGTAGGGGAAGTGGCTGGTGGATACTGTGTTTCTTCTTACATAACTTTATATGACATTAAATTGAACAGAAAGGATTGATGGAGGAAAATGAATCCCAGGGGGCCGTGTGTAGGCAGAAATGGGGTTTGGAAGGGCCTCTGACTGGGTCCCCTCTGAGACCGTGCAGCCCCTTGAGACAGAGCTCCATGTAGCCCCCACGGGGTCCAAGCAGTGACCCGAAGAATGACGTAAGCCATGGTGTTTGTTTCTGTCTCTCTCCCTGACGCTTTCCTTTGTCTTCTCCGCATAAGTCGTAATGTGATTATTTGAAAACAAAAGTCATTGTGCAGATCAGCTCCACGGTGCGGCCGTGGAGGAAAGTAACCTGCTGTCCTCTGTGTTTCAGTCCTCCACATCCACAGGGAGCCGGCCTGAGAACTCCGTGACCTTCAATCCTTACGAGCCAGACCGGGGGCCCTGGCCCACGGACAGAGGTGAGCCATGCGCGGTCACATCCCCGGCCGTTCGCGGCACAGCAGTGCCCGTAGCCCTCGGCCAGACTTGCTGTCGGCAGCGGGGCCTCGGCCGGACCTCCTTGGGTTCTCGGCGTGACTCCAGGTTCTACTTGTATTGGTGCACTCGGTCTGTTTATTGCTACAAAAACGGCCCCCGAATGTAGTAGCTTAGTGCAGCAGTCATTCAGTTGCGTCCTGCAGGTCAGGGGCCTGGGCCAGGCTGGGCCGTGGGGAGGCCGTGGGGAGGCCGTGGGGAGGTCGGGGCACAGGGCTGGCCGGCATCTCAGTCTTCACGCTGATGGGGCCCCTCCCTCGGTGTCCCCTCGAGGGCTGGCTTATACTTTCTCCCAGCATGGACGGGACCCAGGCACCTGGTGTCTGAAGCTCAAGAACCAGTCTTCCAGCCAACAGGGAAGGGAGGGTGCCTGGTCATTTATAACCTCACCTGACTCGCCAACGTCATTTCCAGTATAGTCCATTGGTTGACACAGTGACAAAAGCCACTGGGGGCGGATAGTGACATAGACTTCACCCCTCGATAGAAGGAGGGTCAGAGTTTTCAGACAGTGTAAAGCCATCCATTAGGGAGGCTTCTGGCACGAAAGACCCTTTTTCTGTGCACGTCCGTGCAAGAACGGGGTCGAGTCCCATGGGGGTGAGGGGCTTTTTGCTGCCGCCCCCTAACAAACCAGGAGAGACTGTGCCCTGAGTGCTCACCAGCATCGCAACTGTCAGAGGTGATCAAGGTCTGGAAAGGCGAGGTGTGCCGATAGGAGGCAGGAGCGGGAGATATGGGGATTTTCAGCAGGGACCCAGCACCCGGGTCGGGTGTCTCTTGACCGCCTTGCAGATGCCCAGAGAGAAGCCATGCCCATGGACACCGAAGTGTACGAAAGCCCCTACGCTGACCCGGAGGAGATCAGGCCCAAGGAGGTCTACCTAGACCGCAAGCTGCTGACCCTGGAGGACAATGAGCTGGGCTCTGGCAACTTCGGGACCGTGAAGAAGGGCTACTACCAGATGAAAAAGTAAGTCGTGGCCACACCGCTGCACGGCGCATTCTCCCGTGAGCTGACGTTCTAGAAACCGCCACACTCCACGCTTCCTGTGCATTTAGTCCCAAACACGAACTCTAACCCAGCAGGGCTGAATCCTTCTTTGTTAACGGTGTATGGTTGTCCGTTTCTGGTACAGCTACAATGTAAGCATTCATTGTGTATACTAGCTTTGTATACACCAAGTACGTATATTAGTTTGCACGTAGGAAGCGTGCCTTTCAGAGCATTCGAAAGTAGAAACAAGCAAAACGTAATAAAATGAGAACATCCTGTTTGTACCACCCAGATAGCCCTACTCTTAACTAACAGTAGTGTCTATATATTATTTGGGTCTTTTAATGCACACACATACACACATGTATTTTTTAATTAAAATGCAATTACTCAGTGACAGAAACACAGCATTTTCAGGTATTTTGTTTTATTTTTTAAATCATGTCACATTTCTCTTACCCAGAAAATTCCTGATTATGGACATCATTAGTGTAATTGTTTATCTACTTTTTCCTATAATTTCAGATCACAACACATACCATACAATAGTTAGAAATGCTGTGTCACTGAAATCTCTGCACCTCATTTGCTCTTTAGAAGGTGTCCTGCATGGAATGTTCAGTAAATGTGCCAGACTGTAGAGTGCTTTGAAACAGACCCTATCTCTGAGTGTGTATGTTTGAATTAATACGTTACTGATACGAATATAGTTGGGTTTAGTTGTTTGATAGTATTTTGAATTATGACATTTTATAGATGTTTTATCTTGAGTAGGTAAATTTACATTACCCAAGTGTCAAGAACGTAGGCAAAGCATTCACGGAAACTCTTGCTTTCAAATCCTGTTTTTCTGGGTGCATGTAATTGATAGGCTCGTTCAAAAATCTGTGCATGCATATCACAGTCATTTGTGGAATGAATATAAATTACTCTGTATTAAGGTGTAAATTTCCTCAACTAGTTCGTGACACTTAAATTCCTTGCTTAATTAAATACATATTTTAACACAGACAATAACTATGGATATGTAATTTCAACTAGAGGGTTTGGGGAGAGGAGAGGAGATGTTTTTAATCATGGATGTGTATTACAGCTTATTGAGTACTGGTTTTTTCTGCTGAGATGACCTTATGGTTTTTCTCCTTTGTTGTGTTTATGTGGTGAAGGACACTGATTTTCAGATGTTAAAGCCACCTCGCCTTCCTGGAATAAACCCATCTTTGTTCTTGAATTAGATATTCATTTTTTTCATAAATCACTGAATTGAATTTACTAATATTTCTGTTAGAATATTTGCATTTAGGTTCATGAGAGAGATCAGTAAATGATTTTCTTGGAAGTTTCTTTTTCCGGTTTTGGCATCAAGGTATAATGCTGGCCTCAAAGTGAATTGGAAGGTTTCCTTCCTCTTCTCTTTTCTGCAAGAGATTGTGGGTGTTTTTTCTTCCTTTACTACTGGGAAGGATCGAGAGGTTTCTCTTGTTCATTTTGACCCCTACCTCACGCCATACACAGAGCCAGTTTCAGGTGGATGGTAGTCAGAAATGTGGAAAGGTAACATGATGCACTGACTAGAGAGAGCATAGAGAAGTAGCTCCATGATTGTAGGAGGGGGAGGGAGGCACCTGGGGGTGCTTGTGTAGGAGCTACAGCTTGCGTTCAGTGTGGAAACACTTGTTAAACTCTACACTGAAGTGGTCTGGGTTTTTGTGAATGTATGTTAGACTTACCCCATTGTTCTCTTATTTTACCATCTTTTTGGACAGTTCTGTTTTTATTCTCCCATTTCGGAGTTCAACAAAGGAGATGTTCTTCCTGCACACATGCAGGAAGAGAAATGCACTTTTTTCAAATCATACAGAGTTAACTTCCATTCATTTATGTAAGTCCCACTATATCAGAATATTTTCAGGAGGTCCCACATGACCTGTGAGATGTTTTTATAAGAAAGTGAAAAACAATTTTTTGCAAAGTTGTTGAAGCTTGCTTAAAATTGTCAATGCTCATTTTAAAAAGTGTTTTGTAAACTATGAGCTTTAACAATGTATGCTTTTTAATTCTGCACCCGGAGGTTCACTTTTAACATATATCAAAGGAATGTTATAGTCACACACATGACAGATAATCTGAGATGGCAAATCTGAAGATATTGCAGGAATCCATGCATGTTGCAATTTGTGAGGTTTATTTGAAAATTATTTACATATCCCGTAATATTTAGGCTCTGCTTGGTTGGATATTTTTCAGCACCTCGTCATTATCTGTAACTAATACAGGGTTACTGTTTGTCTATAAAATGAGAGAACAAGGTTGTAACTACCTCCATAACACCATTTCTAGCATAGCAATTATGTTTTATGGAAGGTAATTCCCTAGAATTAGGGAACTTAGAACTTAGCCACTTTGAAAAGTTTCTTATGTATTATGATTTCTTATGTAGAGTTGTGAAGACAGTGGCTGTGAAGATTCTGAAGAACGAGGCTAATGACCCGGCTCTTAAAGATGAGTTATTAGCAGAAGCGAACGTCATGCAGCAGCTCGATAACCCTTACATCGTGCGCATGATCGGGATATGTGAAGCCGAGTCCTGGATGCTGGTTATGGAAATGGCAGAACTGGGTCCACTCAATAAATATTTACAGCAGAACAGGTATGTTTCGGTCCCCCAGGAGCTGATGCTGTGGTGGGGCAGGGCCCGCCTGCCCGGTGTATGTCATAGCCCGATTGCTATGTTGGCCCACACTCAGGGACCTTGAGGGAAGAGGGAAGAGAGTTGTAGTCTTTGGATCAAAAGCTCTTTTAGCTCTTATTGTGCTCAGAAAAACTCCAATCCAACAATTTGGTCTTCATTCTCCTTTGCTCTCTCTATATTGCTCGGCCTCAGAATATCCTGGCAATCAGTCTCTCCTCACTAGGCAGAACATGCCATACCTAGGGAGAGAAATATTAAAATAAACATTTTAAAAGGGAGTAACAGTGATTGATGTCTTATGTGTCTGGCTGACCTCTACGTTCCCACGAGTAATTCTGAAAATAACTGTTGCTGTTAATGGATTACAAGCATTGGTGGGGGATTCATGGCTCATTTACGGCCATTGTTGAGATGGAGTAAGTCACATGGGATAAGTCTTAATAATAGCCACTGATCACTTGGTCCCATTTGATACATTACGTGTGTACTCTACTTAGATTGTGTCTCTAATCAGCGTAGGAGGGAGGAGGTAAGCCCCACTTCACAGGTAAGAAACTGAGACTCAGAGGTGGTTTTGTTACCTGTCCAACATTGGAACAAGGATTCCAACCAAAGCCTGGCTGTCCATGAGTCAGGTCTGTCCACCCCAATTATACTGCAGTTCAATTCAATTCATGCAATTCAAAGCACACCTTGAAAATTGTACCAGTTGAATACCAGGATAACGGTGCTCAGTTCTGAGCAGCTGTAAGCTAACAAGGTTGTTTGTCACCACTTATTACTCTTAAGAAAAATAGGAAATGAGAGGATCCCTCCGCATGCATGAAGAGCATGGTTGCTTGGTCCCAGATGGACTGCTGTCCACCATCACTAAAGACACATCTATAACTTTCAGGCACGTTAAGGATAAGAACATCATAGAGCTGGTTCATCAGGTTTCTATGGGAATGAAATATCTGGAGGAGTGCAATTTTGTGCACAGAGATCTGGCTGCAAGAAATGTATTGCTGGTCACTCAACATTATGCCAAGATTAGTGATTTCGGACTTTCCAAAGCACTTCGTGCTGACGAAAACTACTATAAGGTATGAAAAATTTCTCCAGTATGCAAAGCAGGTGGTGAGAATCTGAAATGCAAGTGTTTGTGTTCTTTATTTGATTATGATAGGGTTTCAAGAAGCAATTTACCTATTGAATTTGCCTATGTAAAAAATGTTCTTGTTAAGCTTTGATTATGTTGTTTTATAAAATGAAAATACTCTAATATATCACAACTTGAGTTTACTCTGAATAGTATCTTCCAAACTATATTCCTGGGAACAAAAAGGAATCAAGGTATTAATTGATAATTCATTAAAACACACACACACACACACACACACACACACAAGAATAGAATTCCTTCCTTAAATTACTTTGGAAAAATGTGTTGAACAGGTTGATCCTTACAGGATTTCTCAGAGCCCCCCCTCAACCCCCAAAATGAACTGATAGCAACGAAAGGAAGGGAAAAACATAAGAAAGCCTCATATGAACTCGGTCACAGTGTGTATGTTGAGTCTAGGTTAATCAACTAGAAAATGTAATGGGAATGGAACTCAGATAGTGAAAGAGGGGGCCAAGAACAGATTTCCAACTCTCCAGGTCCCTGGGAGAGTCCAGCATTCTCAGAAATAGACGGCCCACCCTGAAGCTCTCACTTGAGGATGGCAGGATGGGGGCCGTGGGATTGCCCTGGGCTCCACACCCTGGAGTGCGGGGTCCCCCACTCGCCCACCCACTCACTTCTCTCTGGGACGGCCACCGTGCGTGTGGCAGATGGGGACAGTGGGTCTTGGTCAGCTAGGGACTGGCATAAGGATGAGCAGCAAGATGCCCGAGTGGCTCTTTTGGTTGAGCGACTGCCTTCGGCTCGGGTCATGATCCTGGAGTCTCGGGATCGAGTTCCACATCGGGCTCCCTGTTCAGCGGGGAGTCTGCTTCTCCCTCTGACCCTCCCCCCTCTCATGTGCTCTCTCTCTCTCTCTCATTCTCTCTCTCAAATAAATAAATAAATCTTTTTTAAAAAAAAAAAAAAGGATGAGCAGCAAGAGCAGAGCTGTCCAGCAGTACTCCATCCTCCAGAGAGAAGCTGGCTCCAGAGCAGAGCCCCTTCAGAGATGAGCCACCATTAGAAAAGCACCGAGTGAGCCCTTTACAGACACCGCTAGAGGGACAGCTCCAAGCACACGCCAGAGAAGAGCAGGTGTTCCGTCCGGAGGCACTTTGGGACACACGCTTCATCGTGATAATTAGAGAGGAAAATCTAGACTGAATAGCTACACAGAAAGAGATGGGAGAACAGCGCCATTTTATCTGCCTGAGCCCATCCATGAAAATGGAAACAAAAAATAGCAGGAGTAGCTATATTTATAGCAAACAAAATAGACTTGAAGTCAAAATCTGTAACAAGAAACAAAGAATGTCGTCATATAATAATGATGGCATCAATTCATTAAGAAGTTATAACAGTTCTAAATATATATACACCCGATGTTGGGGAACTTTCTGAATATAACCTGAATAAACAAATACTAACATATCTGAAGGGAGAAATAGACAACTATACATTAGTAGTAAGGATTTTCAGTACCCCACTTTTATCTATGGACAGGTCATTCAGACAGAAAATCAATAAGGAAACACTGGACTTGAACTATACTTTAGGCCAAATGGATCTTAACAGAATTCACAGGTGAATTCTGCCAAGCATTTAAAAGAGACTTAATGCCAGTCCTTCTCAGACTCTTCCAAAAAATGGAAGAAGAGGAAACATGCTCAAACTCATTTTCCAAAGCCAGCATTACCCTGATCCCAAGGCCAGATAAGGACAGTACCACAAAAGAAAACTATAGGCCAAAATCCCTGCTGAACATACATGCAAAAATTCACAATAAAATACTGGCAAACTGACTTCAGCAACACATTAAAAGAATCATACACCACAATCAAGTGGGATTTATCCTGGGATGCAAGGATGGTTCAACATCTGCAAAACAATAAATGTGGTACACTGCATTAATAGAATGAAAGATAAAAATCATATGGTCATCTCAATAGATGCAGGAAAAGCATTTGACAGATTCCAGTATCCTTTAATGATGAATACTTTCAACAAAGTGGGTATAGAAGGAACACGCCTCAACACAATAAAGGCATATATGACAAGCCCACTGCTCACATCAGACTCAATGGAGAAAGATTGAAAGCTCTTCCTCTAAGATCAGGAACAAGGGAAGGATTCCACTCATACCACTCCTACAGTATGGAGGTTCCTCAAACAGTTAAAAATAGAGCTACCCTATGACCCAGCAAATTATACTACTAGGTATTATCCAAAGGATGCAACCATAGTGATTCAAAGGGGCACATGCACCCCAATATTTATAGCAGTAATGTCCACAACACGTGGTTAAGGAGAAGAATCAAAAAGTAAAGTGCAAAACATATGTCCCTAACTTTTCTACCTCCCAAAGGTATATGTTACCTACCTGTACTTGGATATAGATTTTTTTCTGGAAAGATTCAGGAAAAATGATCAAACGCGCCCATCTCTATGGCTGAAGATTTGAAGTTGGTGGAGAGAGACTTCACTTTTTGACATATTTAGGACTCATCAAAGGGTCATCTTTATATCACCTCAAAATTTAAGCTAAAATTGAAATAACACATATGACTATATTGTTCACAACTTTGGAAACCAGAATCTAAAAATAATGTGTTACATGATTGAGACAAAAGGGTAATCAGAGTGTCATTTAGAGACACCCATGGTGCCTATGGTCTCAGAGCGATGTCCTGGGCTGGGGCCCTGCTGACCCACCGTGGGGCAGCCCACCTCCCTCCCTCCCCCCAAGCGTGCTTGTTAGCGTGACCTCCCCAGGAGGCAGCAGGACTGACTTACGCACCGAACTCTAAGCCCCAGAGGAAAGGGTTTCTGCTGGGCACAATTTTGATCTCTTTACTACCCCTTGCTTTTTTAACCAACTGAGCCACCCAGGCGCCCTCCCCTTGCTTTTTTAAATTAAAAAGTTGAAAACATTTTTGGAGCACTTGGCTATCTCCATCGGTGGAGCGTGGGACGCTTGATCTCAGGGTTGTGAGTTCAAACCTCACGTTGGGTGTAGAGATCACTTAAAAATAAAATCTTAAAAAAGAGAAAAGTTTAAAACATTTTTAAAGCCATACTAGCAGTCTGTGACAAAATAACGTTGGCTGAAAACCATAGACAAGTACCCAGTAATAGTTAACTATTCTTGGGAATAGCCCAGTATTTCTTGGAGCACAACCATGAAGCTAAAATTCAGGCTGGGCTCTTGTGTTGGCACAAGCTCCATGAAGCTGTGAGTAGCCAAAGGAAGAGGCAAGAGAAAAAGATAAAAAGGCACAAGAAATACAGCCTGAATCTTAAAAAATATAATGAAATCTTAAAATTTTAATTTTTTTAAGATTTAAATATCTATTTTTAAGATTCGGACCAAATACGTACATGCACACACGCACAGGGCATTTCATGAGTCATTTTTTTTTAATTTTTTTATTTCATGAGTCATTTTATTCCTTTTTTTTTTATTTTGGTTAACACACATCAATTTTATCTGTTGACATAAATTTTACCATCTGAACCATTTTTAAGTGTGCACGTCAGTCATGTTAAGAACGTCCCCTGTGCTTACAGCCACTCTCCAGAATTCTCTGAAACCCTGTCCTCATTAGACAGCGACTCCCCCTGTCCTGCTCAAGCCCCCCATTCCCTGGCAATTGTCCCTGTGACCTGGACCCTCTAGGGGCCTTGGGTGAGTGCTTTCATGCAATATTAGTACTGCAGGGACTTGGCCGGCTGACTGCACCGAGCCTGATGTCTTCAGGCTCCATCCATGCTGTTATGTGCGTCAGAAGTCCCTTCCCACTGGAGGCCCGGTGATACTCCATCGCGTGGATATGGACCTGCTGTTTATCCAGTCCTCCGGCGGGGGACGCGTGGGGACCCCGCACCGTTTGCTGCTGTGAACCCAGGCGTCCACAACCCAGTTGTCACCGAGGGTCTCTGTCTGCTTTGCTTTCAGGCCCAGACCCACGGGAAGTGGCCGGTGAAGTGGTACGCTCCAGAGTGCATCAACTACTACAAGTTCTCCAGCAAGAGCGACGTCTGGAGCTTTGGGGTGTTGATGTGGGAGGCGTTCTCCTACGGGCAGAAGCCCTATCGGGTGAGCCCCTGCTATTTCGGTTCTAGCTACGTGGCCAGCCCAACAGACAAGCCCCGGATGATTGTCACAGGACGTCAAAAATCATAAACTCCTAAAATCTGGGCTCCCTGTCTGAGTCTTTCACTGTCTTTTGACAGTGAGCAGTGGATATGACCTCCATTTATTCTAAACTGAAAAAAATATGTGATATTAACTGCACAGTTTACTTAGTTTCATTGTGCATTACACTTATAAATATGCATAAAAGAGACCCACGTTGACATTATAATTAGAGTGGAAATATATGTGTGTGTATATATATATATTTATTAACTGGCAGTTCAGTTAAATATTTTAGATTTTTTTAAATCAAAATATGCATACCAAAAAGGGCCCCTGTGCTAGAATACAGCTTGATGAATTTTCACAAACGGGTGTGCCCGTGAAACCAGCCCCCAGATGATGAACAGAAGGCCCACTGTGCCCCCTGCACGCACAAGTCGTTCCCCAAGGGCAACCCCGTCTGACTTCTAGATCATGGGTTAGGGGCTCCTGTTTGTGTACTTTTTATAAGTGAAATTGTGCAGCGTGTGGGAGTTTGGGGTGGGAGTAAGACTTATCTGTTGTGTTTTGTTTTGTTTTGCTGAACGCTGCCTTAAACAAGCTTGGGTATGTTTTGCATTTTAGGGCATGAAAGGCAGTGAAGTTTCGGCTATGCTGGAGAAAGGAGAGAGGATGGGGTGCCCCACCGGGTGTCCAAGGGAGATGTACGAGCTGATGAAGCTGTGCTGGACGTATGAGTGAGTACCCGGGATGCCCTGCAGTTTATGCAAAGGCCCGGGGGCAGGTGGGAAGGCCCTGGAAAGTAGCAGCGCCTCTGTGTTTCCGTGAACCAGGGCCGTGCTCCCTTCTAAACAAAGAGCGGTGGGGTGGCTTGCTTCCCAGACCAGGCGCTCATATTCTTCGGTCTAAAGAATAAGTTTAGACAATGAACTCTAATCCAGGGTCTCCAAATTTAAGTGTAGATGGTACCAGCTGGGGGTGAGGGTGGTCAGCGTAGAAAGGTGTTGGTAGGAGTCCGGGCTGGTGCCGTGTCCCACTTCTGGCAGCAGGGGCTGGCGGAGGTACTCAGCAGGGGAATGAGTATCATACTTGCCTGATTTCCTGACCGCCCTTCCAGGCAAGACCGTGGGTGTCATCCAGGTCGCTGGGGGATCGGCCAGGGGAGCACTTCCCCGGAAGTGACTCAGACCTCGGACAGTGGCCCTCAGCATCTGCCGCGTGCCGTCATATGTCCTGCCTGGGGGAGCGCATGTGATGTTGTAGGCTGGTGGTGTTCAGGGCAGCTCGGCGGGCCAGAGACATGCACCACAGCTGACAGTCAGGGACGTGGCCTTTGACCTTGCCCGGATCGGTGGCCCCGTGCGTGGGCCGTGGGGAGCCCCCGAGCCTGGTCTCCGTGTCTCTGACCCCGGCACGTGCCTGTGCGCCCTCGGAGCTCCGAGGTGCTGTGGGTGTGTGATCTAGAGGAGCCGTGTTCTTGCCCTTCCGTGGCTTCAATACTTAGGGTCAGGCTGCTGTCAGAGACTCGGGCTGATGGAGCAGGAGCATCTGGAAGGTGAGGAATATTCCAAGTGCTTTCAGATGCCGCCGGGGATTCTGTAACTCCCTGAGGACGATCGTCCACCACAGCTGGGAGTGGAAGTAAAGAATGCCATCATTATCTAGAAGGGACCCAGGGTCAGGCCCCAGGGGAGAAAGCAGAGGTTTCCCCGGCTGACGCTGTGGACACGGTCCAGGGAAAAGGCCTTTGGCGGGGGTCCGGTGGTGCCGCTGGGGACAGCGCAGGCTTGTTCTAGCATCCAGCAGGCACCGTGCACCCTGCATGGCTTTGGAGACCCTGCAGGCTGTGAGGATTCTTTGGGGGCTGACCTCCAGGTTGGAAATGAGCTCACAATGCCTTCCCTCTGTGCACTTGGGTCCCAGCCTCTGGCCTAAGCAACCTCTCCTTCCCAAGGACCCTGGGGCGGGTGACCTCCAGCAGCAGGGCAAGGCCAGGGGTCAGGCGCAGCCCTGGGGGAGGGCACTTACTAGAAGTAAGTAAACTTGTAGAAGAAGGATCCTTCTCCTGTGGAAGGTTTCGCTTCCCCCGGGAATACTCTTGAAATCATTCTGAAACACATTTTAAAACCTGAAATTAAAATCAACTCTCAGGGAGGTCGTTAAAATTAGTGTTTTGGCATTTAATGCTAAGACTGACAGGTTTATTTCTATCTGCTGTCCTTTGTGTTTGCCAATGAGGAGGGTAGGGGGGGGCGGGAGGGGCCTCAGGGCGGGGCGGGTGTGAGGGGTGGGCCCCGCGGGGTGGGGCGGCCAGGGCGCCACCTTCTGCCACAGCCCCCGCCCGGCTCAGGGGCCGTGAGCCCGCCCAAGCCGCTCAGCACCGGGCGCGCTCTTCCCGTGACTCAGTGCATCCGGAGCGGGCGCTCTGCCCACCTGTCCGCGCGGGACCCGGATGGCTCCTTGCACCGTTCTTGGCCACATGGTCCCCACAGGGAGGACACACAGGGGACACAGGTCTCCTGGGTACTCACCAGACCTGGGGTGTGTGTGCTCACCGGGAGGTTGCGGTTACATCACAGTGAGGCCTACAGGCAGGGACGTCTTTGCCCCGGCTTCCAACCCAAGCATGCACTCTGGCGAGTTCCATGTCGCCAACGGAGAACCAGCCACAGGGTTTAAGTATCAGCCAGGTAAAAGCAGTGATGGCAGTCCATGCCCGAGATGAGAAATGAGTCCTTATCAGTCTTGGGTTCATTTTCCAGCAAAGCTGTATTTCTGAACGTTCAGGTTCTTCTGGTAGTGACCTGACAAAGGGCAGAGGGGGGGTTTGGAGACTCGGTCTCAATGTAAGTAGTGAGATGATGTGCCCTTGAATGGCAAAGCACCCTTTTCTTGGGCACGGCCACCAAGGAGCCCTCAGACACCAGGCGATGGTCTGGCAGCCAGGTCCCTGCCCAGGGCCCTCAGGGCGACGCCTGGCCAGGACCGCCGGCAGCCGCTGCGTTCACCCAGCCTCCCCTGCGGTCCCACGGTGTGTCCCGGAGCAACATTCTGGGGACTTTCCAGGGTGGGGGCCGGAACCCTGGGCAGGCGGACATCGCCCCTGGCCCCCTGGCTTTGCAGAGGGGAACAAGGCATTCCGAGCAGCACCTGCAGAGGTCACACTGAGGGCAGGGGGGCAAGTCAGGGCCAGGAAGGGAAGATGGGCCCCGAGGAAAATGGGGAGCAGCAGGGCTGGGGTCTTCGGTTGTGTTTTACAGAGTCGGTGTATGGCCTGTAATTAGGGATGCCAGTGGGAAAAACCCTTGCTAATCGGGAGAAGTTGGGTCTCTTCACCCTGAAAAATGGGCTCCTGCTTAATGGAGAAAAGCCCAGGACGTTGGGGATCTCTGAGGTCGGGAATGATCTAGGGGGAGCTCAAAGTGCTGCTTAAAGATCAGTAAACCCGAGCAATGGGGTGACTCTACCTGGACCATCTGGAGGCCCGCCCCTGGCTCCCTGCTCCGCTCAGTGCCAAGTCCGTTCCCTCTGAGCGCCCCGTCCCCGGGCACCCCATCCGCTGAGCGCCCCAGAGCTCACGTAGCCCGCTCTCACCACTGGAGGTGCTGTGTGCAAGCCACCATCCCATCACCCGGGGTGGGGGTCAGCCAGCCTCGGGGAAGGCCCAGACCCTGCCCTGCGAGAGCCTACAGGCGAGGGGAGGGGTGAACAGGCGATAGACGAGCTAAGGAATCTGTGTGCTCTCAAAAGGTAGTGAGTCCGATGGCATTTCAGGGCCCAGGCCATGGCCCAGGAGGGTGTTGTACGTGTGAGTGGGGTCTCAGAGTACCTCCCGTGTGCAGGTGCTTTCTCATGCAAGGAGATATAGCACCGGCCTGGGGCCCAGAAGCACATGGAGCTTCCAGAACCTGGTGGATTCCATGAAGTGAATACAGAGGAGCCCTGTGTATTCTCCAAGCTTTTTGAGGCATTTTTTTGTTGTTCTTGTTTTATCCATTCTAAACAGTCAACTAGGTGGATGAATCAATTAATACGTGATAGATGGCTATAGACAGATGATGGATAGGTAAGTAGGTAGGTAGGTAGACACATACATACACACCTCAAGACCTATCACTGACACACTCTATTGACCCCCTCCACGTATGTACCGGTGGACACTTACCTGGAGGAGGTCACCATCCTGGGCTGGTTGTGCTAGAGAACTGGGTGTTGGGAGGCAAACGTGCCACAGATTAGCCCCCCATAAGCCCGTGATCACGCACGGCTATCTTTGGTTAGAGGTTCACATTGGCCTCCATCGGGGAGTGGCGTCCCACCTGAGGACCGCAGGATGAGGGGCGAGGGGCAGGGGTGCGGGCAGTGAGGAAAGGGGGGCTGCTGGCCCGAGGGCCCGAGCGGAGAAAGCCCCCCGAGGCCCCAGGAGGCCGATGCGGGCAGGTGGGGACAGACAGGAAGCTCACACGTGTAGGACGCTTGGCCACACTGGCTGAAGCTCAGCGTCATGGCATCATGCTCAAGTGTCGAGGAGAGATCCCCTGGGAGGCTGGACCAGGTGTCCTTGCCGAGCGCCGGTCTGTATCCCTATGTCGGTTAGTTTGCTTGGTGCCTGGCTGCTGGGTGGATGGAGACTCAGGAGCTCCGTGCATTTGGGTCCCCAGAGCTGGAGGGGAACGTTCGGTTTTGCAAAGATGATGAGGTGTGTTGTCTGACTGTAGAAGGAGGGAGGCTGTCCATCTGGGTAGACACAGCCTCCACCTACACTCCTGCACCCGGGCTTGGCCCCCAGCCCTCCTGGAGGACAGCTTGGTGGCCAGAGGCGTGGTCCCCACAGCAATGCCTGAGGTGGCCTGTGTCCCCAGCCATGACCGCAGACGGCTGTAAATTCCAGCAGTCCATTATGGTTTTTCCTTACTCTTGAAAGCTATAGGTGAAACCATTTATTTTGATGGCATGTGACAAAACCCATTTGGGTTCCGTGGAAGCCGCACTCCTTGCGGTGGTGAGTGATTCTGGGCCCCTGTGAGCCTGCTGCCTGGCTGCCCCACCAGACCCGCATGGAACCTCTTGAAATTCCAGTCTGAATGTGGACGCTTCCCCCAGTGCGACCTCAAGTTCTGTTTCACTTACTGGGCAACTTCACCCTCGGGCAGCATAGCCCCAAATCCCACAATGTAAGCAAAATTATTTCCATGCGGGGGCACGTTCTCACAGTTTTAAGAAATACTTCCTTCCAGCTGATGCTGTCCTGTGGGAGGAAGCAGAGAAGTCTATGACAAGTTTTGAGTTTAATGCGAACCCGTATCAACAGCATTTTTTCAGAATATCCAGAGCTATCCGACCGGGGTGGGGAAGAAGGTACTTTAAATTGTGTCCATCTCTTTTTCACAGGATTCCGAGTCCAACTTGAAGTGGGTCTGGGGCCCATCGACCCACTAATACTTTTAGGCACATTCTGTTTTTGCTGGATCACAAGGGCAGAGTGTCCGACCTGGGGCTCAAAGATCCCGACTCCGAGGGCGAAACGTCTCCACGTTAAAGGTGGACACGAGTCCGTGGGGAGCCTGCCGCAGGCCGGTGGGGCGCTGCGGGGGCTCCTGGGCGCCGGGTGCAGGGGCTTCCGGGGGGCGGGGCCACAGGCACCTGTCGCAGGGGCTGGATCACAGCACGTGCGCGGACAGACAGACCCACAATAACGCGGGTCTTCCCGTTCCAGGGTGGAGAAGAGACCCGGCTTCGAAAACGTGGAGCTGCGGCTGCGCAACTACTACTACGACGTGGTGAACTAAGGGCCCCACGCCCTGCGCCGCTGCCGGGGGCAGGGGAGCGGTCACAGCAGAGCCCGCCCAACGCAGGGATTTCGAGAGCGTCCACCTCTCTCTCTGCCGTCGGGAGAGGCCAGCCTCGTGCGGGACACGACCGTCGTCCCCAAAGCCTGCCCCGGAGCACGCCCTCCGCAGAGCACACCCTCCCCGAGGAGCCCGGGAAGAAAGACGGCAGGACCGGAGGGGGCCCGTGGATTCCTTTGTGTTTCTCGCCTGTGCGGTTTGCAGGACAGGTTCCAACGAGGATCCATGTGGGCATCCGAATCTCCAGCAGCCGGGAGGTGTCCCGGGCTCACCTGCACCGCCTGCCCTGCAGCAGGGAAGGCGAGCGGAGGGGGTTTGGCTGCCTCCAGAACCTGGCGCCGACAGGTCCAGAGACTTAGCCCTGCCGCCGAAAAGCTTTCCTAGCGATGAAAGTGCTTTGAGGCTTTAAAAAAGAAAAAAAAAAAAAATCAAGCTGGACCAGTACAGTTTCTAAGCGTGTAGCCAGTTAAAGGGGGGAAAAAAGTCTGGATACTGCATTTGCTCTGTGCGTTCTGAGACACAAGACTCAGATCCATGGGACAGATGGGGCTGTGGGCATGAACTGGCTTGGCGTGCCTTCCCCCTGAGAGCCTCTCTCCCGCACACCCTCCCGGGACTGTGCTTGCTTGGAGGTGGTGGAGGGGAGAGGGCGTCTGTCCTCTCGGGCCTGAGCGAGGACAGACGGCAGGTGCATCGGGCTGTCCTCTCCTTAGGGAGGTCCGAGCTCCCCTCCCCTAGAGAGAGGGTACCTCCAGAATCTCCCGACTTTTTCTGTGTTCACGGTGGGGAGGGGGTGGGGACAACCCGGGGGCCAAGGCCATCTACAGTGAGTTTCCTAAGATTGTATTAATTCATAATAAAGCCACAGACTCTGAGCCTTGCTGCAAGCATGCCCGAGTGTGACTTTGGGTTGAAGATACGAGACCGGGAATTCTTGGCTAGCTCTCTGGTCTTAGCGAAGCCTTGAGTCATGTGTGAGCTTATACAAGTCATCAGCCCATGTATGCCAGTTTGAAAGTCAGAGGGAGTTAGCTGTCATTCTTAGGGCAGCTGAGACCCTGGGCCAGCGTCGGTCGTACCTGAGACATTTTAAAGTATACGTCCAGCCTGTTGTCGGGAGAGTTTCCCTTCTCATAGCAGGGCATCCAGGCACAGGGAAAAGCAGCAATCAGCACCTTTGCTCAGCCAGAAAGAAACATGAGTCACTCATCGAACTGGTGGGAAGAAGCGTGTAGAACCCACCTGGGCTTTTTTGGAATCGTGCTAGCTGGCGGATTAATCATTTTGTTAAAGAGAGGGTCCCAGCGTGCTGAGCAGATACTCAAAACATGGGCAACATACATCAGAGTCCCTGGAATTAAAAAGCCGAGTGACAGGAACTCTGCGGGGGGCTGTCCATGGATTTGGAGTCATGCCTGCAAGGTTGGACGGAGCACTGGTGACCTCTGAGCAAGTGGTCGCGTCTCTGGCAGAGGCCGTGCATGGAAGGCTCCGTGATGTGAACGTGCGCAGTCTGGGAGGTGAGGATCCTCACTGGGCACTGGCCGCGGCTGGAGCTCGCGGGCCCGCCACCCTCCTGACGGTTCTCTCTCCCCGGGCCTGAGCCCCCCCTCCCCATGCCTTCCCCTTCTGGTCCTTGTTCAGGAGCAGCAAGACAGCGTCATGGACAGACACACCGCTCAGGCCGGAACCAGTCACTGCTGGTGCCACGCACACTGTGTCCCCACCGGGGGACTGGAGCTTTCCATAACACAACCCTAATCCATTCCGTGGTGACAGGGACTGCTTGGGGTTTTCCATGTGAGCGTGTCCCCACGCGGGCTGTCACCGGCTTCACAGTTCCCCCAGCCCGGGGGCCGCCGCCCTGCCTGGATGTCCACACGTGGAGGTGACTGCTGGGTCCTCCGGGCACCCCCCTCCCACAGAGCACATGCCACCATTTCAGAAGAACGACTTTTTGCCACTGGACTTGTTTTTTTTTTTCTGTGATTTTTTAATAAAACTTTCGAATTAGCTTCGTGATGATTTTCATGGATATTATTGGAATGCTGTAGGTTGCACCGTCAAATAAACAGTGTTAAACAGCATCATTAAATGTGAAATTTTTTTTTTTTTTTTTTTTTGTAAATGCTAAGTGCCCAGTTGAGTCCTAAAAAGCCGGATGCACGCAGATCCCTGGGAGCGGGTCCGGGAGCTTCTGTTGTGCAAAGGCCTGCCGAGGGGGGCCCTGGTGGGCCGTGACCCCTGTTCCTGAGGTCTGCCCAAGGAGGGCCTGACAGCTCGCCCCGTACCCACAGGAAAGAGGGGTGATGATCCCTGAAATCCGCACAGGCGCCAAAGCCCGGCTGGGGGTTGTGGGCTTCCCCTTTCCACATGAAGACAGCTTACGGGGCATCGGGGAGCAGAGGAATTCCAGAGTGTCCCCATCTCCACCTGCTTTAAAGGGGGTCACGCACGCACACTCACTCCCATACACGTGTGCACACACCACATACCTACGCACACCGTGTGCACACGTGCCTACATATCACTCACAGGTACGCGCGCACACCACACAAACATCCACACCACACACCGCACCCCACTCCCAGTGACCCTCTTAGTGCCAGTGTGGGGCAGCCCTGCCGCGGGGATGCGCTGCTGGCTGCTTTTGTCTCTGCCTCCTCCTCAGGCCCGGGGAGGAGCGTCAGTGCCTCTCCTGGCCACCAGCCTCCCTCGGGGTCCCACTGAAGAGCCTCCTGCTGCCGGCAGGCAGAGGTTTGAAGGCCTGTGCGGGCCGGCCTCACAGTCCCTTGGTGGCCCCGAGACCGGGACAGCCAAGGACGACACGGAGCGGGCCTGTGGCTCCAGACGTGGCAGGGGCGCGTCAAGTGGCAGTGGTAACAGTGCGGTCAGCTGGTCCCCAGTGCCAACCGTGGTGGGTCCCCTACACCGGGGAGGCTCAGCCACCGACCTGTGCGGACACCTGTGAGTGCAGATGCACTGGCCAGGGGCCCGGCTCTGAAAATACCAGGGGGAGCCCACCTCGTGGGGACCCGTGGGCCAGCTGGGTGGTGATCCAGGAAGCCAGCGACCTTGACTCTGAGCCTTCGACCCCGGGGGAGGGCGCAGGAACCACAGCGCCATGGAGGCAGGGACATGAGACAGACTGTCGCTAAGTGAGCTCGGGCAGAGGGGTTTGAGACCCGTGCTTGCGGTTCCAGGCTGTGGACAGACTTCAGAACTAGTCGATAAATGCGTTCTCGGTTCAGGGAAGGAAGAAGCCTTTGCCGAGAGCCGGAATGAGGGTTTGCTTTTCCGCATGCTCTATTAGGGTAGAGATAGACGGTGCTGGACACTCCTCGTGGTCTGGGGAATGGTGGCCAGGGACAGCGGGTCCTCCTGAGTCCCTGCATGTTCTCGGGGGATGGGAGCCAGGCAGAGGCAGAGCCCCAGCCCTGCTTCTGCACCTGTGAGTCTGAGCAGCGCAGCCAGACAGAACGGCTTGGGCAGCTCAGCTCGGCCTTGCCCGGGAAGGACCCCGGTGCCCGGCAGCCCACTCGCAGTTTGAGAAGCTGGGCAACAAAGACCTGTCCATGCGTTCTTGCCAGCTCAGCATTTCCCCGACTTCTCGGACCGCAGACCCGCTGTTGTGCTCAGTGCCCCGTTAGCAAGACGGGGCTGGTGTTCCGCACACAGGCCGGGAAACCGCACACGAGGGAGGCGGCTCTCCTGGGGACCCGGGGCGCGTGTGGGGAGCTAATTCCTTCCCTGACATCAGCCGGGGAGGCCGTTCGCTGTGCTGTTAGCTGAAGAACCAGCCCTGTCGTGATCTCAAATGTCGGTTGCTTTCACACACCATGTTCTCTCTCTCTCTCTTTCTCTCTCTCTCTCTCTCTCACACACACACAGGATACATATAAGCAATCACTCCTTCAAAGAAAAAAAAGAAGAAATGGTAGCATCTCGCTACACCTGGGCTGCCCAGGGCACATAACTTGGTGTTTCGCCACCTAGACCTGTTTCAAAGGCCACTTAGGATTTTGGAGTTTTGCAGAATTAGCCTAGAGGGAAAAAAGCACAGTTTTCCGGAGCAGCGGCCGCCCAATCGGGCGACATCCGCCTGGTTTCCCTAGGTCAGTCCAGGGTGTGCAGACCTGGTCTTGCCCCCACCCCCTGGCGCCCAGAGTTAATCCTCCCCCCGGTGTCCGCCACAGGCCTGGGCCTGGGGCTTGTCTTCCTATTTCACTTCCCAATGAAAGGTCTGCTTTTCCCAGGCCTCTCAGAGACTGCCCACCCGCTCTGGCTCCCGGGGAGGGTGGGTGGGTGCCGGAGACCCAAGAACCGGGGCCATTCTCTGCACGCCTGCAGGCACTTTCTCTGTGGAATTGGACCAGTGCTCCTGCCCTCAAGAAAGCAGCGTAACCGGCAGAGCAGGCTTTACAACAAATACTTCATCCCTCACGTGGTCCCCTGAGGCCTCGACAGTGGCCCTGTGGGTCCCAGAGGCCACTCCCTGCACTGCTGGCTGACGGGGAGGGACGCCTCCCCCCCGCCCCCCGCCGCCTGGGCCCGTGTCCTTGGCCACTGGTGGTTCTTGGAGGCTTCTGGGAGAGAAAGCCGCGGATGAGGCGGCACTTGAGAGTGGCATTAGGATCTGTGGGTGTCCCTGTCTTCCTTCTCCCCACCCTCAGCTTTTAGGAGGCACCCAGCCGAGCACTCAGGGGTCAGAAATACGGATGCCTACACGATGCCCTTCAGCAGCGTCGGCCCCGCCTCTGACCGCGGGCAGGCCGGCGTGCAAAGGGCTTCATGCTGCACCAGTGGGCGAGCCGTGAACACGCGCAAACAGTGAGTGGCTTTGGACACCAGACCCGTGGGACGTGGCACTGAGGGCTCTGTCACAGAACTCTTCGTTTGCACTTTTCACAGCTAGCAAGGTGTTTTCAGGCGTAAAACACTATTTTAAAACTAAAAACAAGCAACTTTTGAGACAGCTGTCATTATTAATTCTTCATTTGACAAGTGAAAGGCCATGATTCAGAAAAGAGCACCAAAAAAGAGCCTGAGCCCCATTTCTTATCTCACAGCCCTGGCTCTTAGGCCAGACTGCCCCCTAGAATCTTGAATGGAGCCTTCCAAATGCAGGTCCCCAGGCTCTATTCCCAGAGCATGGCCTCACTGGTCTGGGGGGAGGCGGGGCTGGGCCCGGGCATTCACAGTCTGCACAGGTGCGCCAGGAGGTAGGTTACAACTCGACACCC